GATCCTTGATAATCTGTCTATAGATATAAATACCACAAAGAACATTAGGTGTAATATATTTTTATTAGAGACTAGGTATATAATCTATAATACATTATTATAAACTCAAAGTAGAGTCTGTAAGTCTGTCCGTTTGTTTTCTTTTCGGGAAAAAAAATAATAAACTGATTCTAACGAAATTTAAATAGAAGATAGAGCTAATAAGGCAGGGTAAAAGCAAAAAAGTACCTATTACGAATAAATAATAAGTTTTTTGTCTGTAGTTTACACAATATCTGTGTTACATTTAAATAATTATTTTTAAATAGAATAATTTCTTCTCCATATTGTAGTAATAATTTTTTTAGTAAACCCGAATTAGTAAAACTATGTTATATATAATTTCACGAATATTGAAATGTATGCACATAAAAGATGTAGTATTATGTTATTTGTGTTAGTAGTAATAATACCAGAATTACAGATTCAGTCTGATATAGAATATATAATTGCCACTTATCTACGAACATAACTTGAATATAGATTTTGTTGATATACCAAAAACCTTCAAAGTTGACATCACAATGATATCAGATTCATGGACCGCTATCAAACTTGGTACACATAATATGAAACAATGAACAAAAGACTTTCAACAAGATACGCATTCAAATACAACGCTCTGATTGACCACTCGGTGAAAAGTATTGTACCATATCTACCCATTATTTAATTCACTATGAAAAGAAACTGCTATTTTTATGTATTCAGGGAAATTTTTTACAATTTTTTACAATGAACACAAGGAAATTGCTTACAATGCATAATAGGTCGGAGTCCACCTGTAAACAATCGTGATAAATTCCTGATGAATGTGTCACGATGGGACAACTAACCTATCATCCTTCACTGGTACACTGCCAACATATACCGTCAGCACAGTTGGGTGCATCATTAAATTATAAACTATAAAAAAAAGACACGGAACTTCCCAGATGAGAATACTATTCACGCTTGACCTATTTTTTAATTATCATAAGAACAAATGTTACAATACCACATATTAAGGCATCCGCCTTATTTTTAATATATTATCATAATAATAATGTAGCGTCACTATTGTTTAGTATCGGACTATTGTTTTCCTCTCCTAATGCTTCCTACCAACCAGCGTCATTGGTATCTTTTTTAATATTAGGTAATCAGGGAACTTATTTAGTAAACTTAAACTTATCAGAACATATGAAATTACAATGCAGTCTATTGTTATAATTATTAGAGATGATTTTGAAACGAAGACTCTGATATCGGTTATTACAGTTTCAAAAAAATACTGAAATTACAGAGCTATGAGAGATGATGAATGGCAATCCATGAGAAGTATCTCGGAAGCAAATGATGACGTGATGTATGTGGTTGCTATTCATATATAATAGATTACCACTTACCATACGGAGGAGTTGCTACGTCAGTTATATAAAAATGAAGATTATTCACATGCAAATGTACATTTCGTTACAAAAAAATTTACCGTCGTGCTAATGAATAAACAAAATGCTTTTAGTACATCTTCATATATTAATATTGTTGAATAAACACTCGGAGGGCAACGTCCAAGCACTAACGAGTTCTACATGAAATTAAATGTTTTTTCTAGAAGAATTTTTAAGGTAGACCTACCAAAATGTATTTAGTGTATACATGTTAAAAGATGAATGCGTGAATGAGGTTGAATTCTTTAATTTCTGAATGGTATTCGGAAATAGTGTTGTAGGTATTATTCGTTATGTGGTATATTTTTATTTAATATAAAAGAAATGTTTTTTAATAGAATTAATGTCTGTCATAGCTATTCGAATACACTCGTATTCGATTCGATCGAATAAAGTATACAAAATAAGAAAATGGACACTTTTCGCATTACTGACAATCAAAACGACAATTAGACTCTTTATTAACTTAGCACAAATTAGTAAGATCGAGTAAGAGAGTCCTTTTAGTCTGGTTTTCTCAAAGAGTAATATCATGTTTTTTGTTTTTTATTCTGATATAAAATCATAAGGACGATTGATGTCTACAATTTAAAAAGTTGTAATACCTATAACCATATCTTAAGATATAAATTAAAGTTGTTTTTTGTCACTAATGTAATTTATATTTACAATTATTATTGGAATAAATACCCAGTTGTGCAGTATAGATCTGAAAATCAGATAGGAGATAAGGAGCTTTAGATTTCTCAGTCAACTACTCGGTCAAGATGGGAAGAAGACACACATAACTCTAAAGCTTTTTTGTTAGTATAGTGTAACCAATTCGTGGTATGTGTAGCAAGTATTCCAGATTATACTTTTCCACAGCCTCAGATCAGATATAGATAGAATAATCTTCCATGTTTTTATTTCTTATCAGTTTAAGTATATATCTTTTCTTGCAATTATTGCCGAAATAGTACATATTTTAAGCGGGTATGCGAGTTCTAATTTCACTCAACCAATTATTTATCTCGTCTTAACAAGACTAATATTATATATGTGAAAGTTTTTAAAGATGTCGGGATGTTTGTTACTCAATCATGCTTAGACGTCTCAACTGAACGGTTTTGAAAGAAATTCGGTAGGCAATTCGAATATACGATAGATTATGTACATACATTATGAATCCTAAAAAATCTATTAAAAAGGTAAGTATAGAAATTATCATAGTTATTAGCCTGCACAAGTACAGGGATCGAGGAATTTAATTTCTCATGATTTACACATGACATTCCAGGATTAGTAGAAAAATTCTATTGCACTGTGCACAGTGGCCTGACTTATTTTTTTTTAAAATGATGGCCTCGTCAATTGAAAAAGGAACTTTAAACGAAACAAAACAAGATATCACGTTGAAATATTATTTAACAGAAAAATAGATGACCAGTAAGCTGAATAGTGAATAAAAATACAATATAGGATCATACATTCTAACATCATAATGCGTTATAACGCAAATAAACACGTATGGCTGTTTGTTATAATTGGGCTTTTGTCAGGAAGTTACCTCCATGTTATATTGACTATCTTCCAAAACCAGTAACTAATGACTGATGACAATGGGGGACAAATACAATCTATAGGAAGTCCTTTTTTACACTACGTACTGGGTACAAGACAAATGGCCACAAGAAAGTGGTAGACATCGTTTATGTATACACAGAAAACAAATAACACTACGGTTTTATTACAAAATTGATTTCAAAACAAATCATGTTGTAGTGTTAATTTTTTTTAAATATTTATTATTGTAGTTTTCCTTTTTAATTGCTTCTTTACCTTAAGTATTAAGGATTTTATATATATATATATATATTATTTAATTGCTCCTTTACCTTCAGTGTAAAGGAGTAATTAAAAATATAGCTCATTATAGCCTGATCATATTAAAGACCGTGTTTTGATAGATTATATTTTAAATTAGAAAAGATAAGACCTTACAAGTCTAAATACTAAATATCATGGCCACTTTATCTGATAGATCGACACAATAATTACAGTACGAGAGAAATAGATAATTTAATTATTTAGTCCGTTTCTAACAAAAGTTGTTATCGGTAATTACTGAAGAATTATCCCTAAGGATGAAAAAGAATAAGAAAATATTTTTATATAATAACATCTAGACTTAGGCATTGCCGCGTGATAAACCTAGTATGATAAATATTACTTCTTACTTACATTTTGACTGTGTCATGAATATTAGGTTTAGCCAGGTACCTATACATGATATACATATTATCACTAATTTAGCTAATTTTTTTTATTTTTACATAAAAAATATATCAGGTCAAATTTTCACCTCAAGGTCTGTTTAGCCGTTTGATTGAACACAGAACACAGACCTTGATGAAAATTTGACCTGATTAAAAAAAGAAGACATGGAAATCGTGATTTCCATGTCTTCTTTTTTTAATAGAGACGGGCACATTATAGTTACTATATAATAAAGTCTTTAAAGTAGTGTTGTGATCGTATGAAATTGGATTATATTATTAATCCTTACATAAATAGTAGAAGATTTAATCAGATGTCCTAATAGTATTTTATCACTACATAATTAGTCATATAACGTTAATAGCTTTTCGTCATAGTATTACCATAAAATTGATTGGGTAAGAAAAGTGAGAGCGTCGTGGCCTAGTGGTTTACTACCCCGACATAGAACGAAAGGTCGTGAGTACGAATATGATCGACACCAAAAAATTTTGGGTGTTAATTTATTATATTTCTGATTAGGCCTTCGGCCATGGAAATTTCGATAAAAGACCAAATTTATCCAACGACAGTAAGATGACATCCTGGTTATTTTACGGTAATAAATAAGAATTCTTCTGCGACTAAGATTAAGTTCATAATATAAATTAATACGTTCTGAAGTAGCGTACCTACTTCAGAACGTAATAATTTTATTTTTATATTATGAGCTTCTATATTGTAGTAAAAACATTCATTATAAATTCTATGTCTATATAATAATTTACATACTTTATTATTGTAGTTGTATTAAAATTAGTCTTTATACGTTAACTCATTGGAATAAAAAGAAACTGAATTTAAAAATAAAAAAAAAAAGATAAATCTGGGTTATTGACTAAGTGTGTGCTGACTAAGTACATAAAGATGGTAAATAAGAGTTCAATGTTTTTGGATAGAATAATGTAATAAATCAAAAAGTCCAAAGCAAATCCTAAGTCATGGAAACAGATCGGTCGGACTAAAACGATTTTTGAGTTTAATTGATATACTTACACATAAAACGAATTCTTTAAATGATAAATTTGAAGGATTTCTATAATTTATACTTTGATAGTTTATAAATATTTTTTTTGGAAATAATTTATTCTTAAATAAACTTAAGTTCAATTATGTTTAGTAGAAAATGTCATTCTAATAAATAAGAAATAAATTTGTGATATTAACAAGAAATTAGGTAAGTATTTATAAATAATAATAAAATTGAGAACATGTGACAAAACAACTCACCGATATACAAGCGTTTCACCTCCTTTTACTTTCGTATGACTGTACAGAAAACTAATACAGAGAGATATATTTAAAAAGTATGAATAACACCAAATAACACTGCTTAAAAATAATTATTTTAATAAAAATTTTCACAAGATTCTTTATTTGAAATTGGCGCGCGTGTTGACAGTTAAAGGGATTTGAATCGAGAACAAGATTTTCCTTTAACGTCACAACCGATTGATATTTTACTCTGTACTGCCAGTGAGCATCGCCGCAACGCTCTCTCCCGATGGCAACGCAGTATTAAAAACCTTGAGACTCGGCAAACTGTATTTTATACGACTTAAGCACACAAGTATAAATATTGTCAGAGTAATTATTGTATCAATATAATCAATAATGTTATTGTTAGGTATCCTCATCTCTATTAAAGTAGGGCTTAGCAGAAGGTTCTGGCTGGCTAGCTTGCAAACTATGTAGATATGTAGAAAAAATATTCTTGCACGGGGAAGAATATTGAATAGTAGCTAGTAGTACCTAAATAATAATATATTTATAATGGTAAATTTCTGTTTATATAGAAGTAAAGGTTTTAAGCTAAAATACATCGTAATATTTATGTGCTGCAATAAGAATCTACAGCTTTACTGATTTCTTTGTAACAAATAATTTAATAGTTAAAATTCTCACAGTTATTATAAAAATGAAGTATGATCTATATAGGGGAATAGACTAAAATAGTTCTAGCGACTAGTATAAAGTTTGTTGAATTAGTATATATAAAGTCTTGTTGTTGTAAAATCAGAACTTAAAACATATCGTAAATAAATAAGATTTTTGTAGGTTTGACGCCATTTTTCGCGCTTTTCTGAGAAATTCAACATCCTGAGAATACAAAAAAAGATGATAATTAACAGCTTGAGAAATTGCGGTTTGTTACATATATTATTGTTAAGTTATATACATGATTTATATCTTGCTTTACCACTCATGCGGTATTAGTACAAGCATAATTATGAAGAAACTTGCTTGGTACTCTTTTAATCAAGTGTTGATCAACTTTATTTTTTTAAAATCATAAAATTATATGTGTAAATAAATATTTACATACTTCAGTAATAAACTAAATCAGACGTACATAGTAATCAGAGCAGACCTATAGCTTAATAATAGCTTAATAGTTTCTTTAAAAGGGGGCAATTAATTGCGATATCTATTTTATCAACAGTATTGTAGTCCACTACAATGTAACTAAATTGAGAACAATCATATAGTAGTACAATTTTTTTTTATGTTGTTGTGAGTTGGAATATTTTAGATTTTCTATATAATATCAAAAAGATAATCTGATTTTAATACCGGTAATGACGTACTATTTATAATATTCACTCGGATTTTTAGTACAAAAACAAATAAGCATAATATTTTATTATTCAGTTTAGCATCTAATATACAGAGATAATGTCATAACGTATTAAGAAAGTGGCTTTATGAACTTTGCAATGGATTATCTATTGAAATTGGGGTCCGTTAGAGTTATTATTCAGCGTATGTGAAGCCGATTACCTACATACCTTATTACATTACAACAATATATTATAAATGTTTTTTTCGATGGTATAATTTAATTTTAATAATATTATAATTTAAAAAAGTTTTTGGAGATATAATTGATTAAATCTATCTGGTAGATTACAAACGCTATCCACTCAAGCGCATGACGTCACACGACATGAGACACCTTTCTCTAGTTCGATTTTGGAACGCGACCGAGTAACCGCCAATTATTTTCAGTATCAATTGTATTAATTTAATTTTTTTTATACTTGACCAATGACGTGTTAGTAAGCGATACGTAAGCTTTATTCGATTGGTCGAAATGGCAAGAATGTTGGAAAGAAAGGGAAAAGAATCACATAATATATATATAACATATACCTAATAGTAGAAGTATAATTGCAGGTACTTTATGTAATTTTTGATACACTAAATATGTTAGAGTACTGAATTATTTGATAGTTTATTGACGAATCAATATGTTATTGTGATTAAATTAACATAATACATATTTTATAGAGTCAATGAATCTCATATGTCCTGATAAGTTTTTGTTTTACTAGAAAATTAATAGAAATGCTTCATTGTTTGTTTTTGGTGTACCCGTCTGCGCTAACGGTTTACGCTGGCGAGGCACCATTGGAGGATGATAAGATGAGCATGAGGTCAGGTCAGTCAGCCCATAGTGGCCAATTCGTCCGGAATTTATCACGATGGTTTCCAGGGGGAATCGTTTGGAGGCAAAACTAACATGGTACATTGCTAGCAATGGGGTCAGCAGTCCACATTACTAATAATCCCATCTCCACCTATAGAGCTATATTATGAGGTAAGGTAAACACAGCGAGCGTACTAAGTACGTAATATTCTCTTAACTACTAGTACTAAATGGCTTTTAGGAGTAGATTTTCAACTGCATTTTTAATCTGACCCCTATAAATTATATTTCTCTCTTGGATACATAACTCGTATGTATATTATAACAATTCCATAAGTCTTAGCATGTATGCATGTTTTTGCTTTTATCGAAATAAGTAGAGATATAATACATAGAATTATAAGAAAAATAGGTAGAGTGTGATAAATAACACATCAATAAAAATGACAAGCATTTTATTACATGCAATTAGTATAGTTTATACACCATTGTTTCGATAAAAAGGCGTGCATGTCGAGATTGTTTTGAAATTGTTTAGAAAACAGTAGGTATGTATATTGAAAAAATTATAAACTCAGATGTCCGCATCAGTTTGACTTTTTTGATATACACGGGTGGCACGGATTTCAAGACTTTTTTACTTCCCTCCTTCGTTTTTGTCACATTAATTATGCTGAAATGTTATTAAAGAAATATTTTTAAAGATTTTGTATTTTGAAGTGACATGATAAAATTAAGAACTCCTTCCACCTCTTGTCACACAATATCATACAATGTCACACTTTGTTGATTTTAATGTGTCAGGAAATGTATAAATAAGCTCTAATGAGTATATGTACCATAATCTTCTTGCGTGGTGTTTGGTGAGAGAGAGACGAATCTAACTCTCCAGAATTATAGAGTAGGTACATGAATTCAACTTGTGTAAGAACACGCGTTATAACGAATGCACTATTGCTTGTTTATTACTATTTCTTACTAGATTTTTATTTTTTATTGTCTGAGCTAGTTAGATTACATTTAGGGATTTTATTTTTATATAACTGAAATTTAACAAACTGAAACTTAAACAATAAGGTGTTATGACTAACCATGCCGCTGTAATTCACGTTTCAACTGAACAGACTGAAATAGATGAGACAGGATTGCCCCTGCAGAGGATTTTATACTAAACTTTATCTCGTTAATATAATGGAGGAGATTTGTTCAAGATATTGTTACAGTACCTATACAATGGTACTCCCGTTGTATAGGTACTGTAACGATGAGATTTGTGGTCGCCAATGCTAGCAATATACCATTGCGGTTAATTTCTAATGCATTTGTCACCATGGGCTAATGGACCTTACTTTATGCTCATCTTATAATCCTTCACGGGCGCCCCACCAGCGTATAGGTAGTGTTATTAGGTATATATCGTAAATATTTTTTACAAGATAATTAAAATTTCATAGTGGACTGCTATTAATTGGTATTTTATAGTTATAATAGTTTATGTTTAAACGTATATCATAGTATAGGTAATACTATGATATACGATATCCATTATATAAAATAAGGTATTATTTAGTTAAGAATATCTGTATAGAATAGAACAGCGTAGTTAAGTTTTTTTGTTATTGGCAATAGAACCGAAAAAACTTGAATGCTAACTCTTATTAATTCTGTACACATTGCAAATACATGCGGAAATAGACACAAGTAGGTATGGTTCATCGCGACTTATACTTAGTAGTTACAAGTACATATCACTTATTTAATTTATGTTACATATAATTATATAAAACTTTGACATCAGTTTTTAATTAGTCTTGTTTAATTTATTAAATAATTTGACTGTATCTAAGAGCTAAATAAAACCTTACCTACCTTATAATTTACAATATCAATATAATTATAATTTCATCATCCAGAACAAGCAAACTCGTTGTCTAACGGTAGGAAGGCATATTGTTAATTAAGGAATTAATGGCCATGTACCATGCAATATGTCATGTAAGATTGACCTCCACGCAACAGCAAGTCCACTGGATTGCACTAGGATTTGACCGCTGTCACAATTCAATGATCTAAACCGAAACTCATTCTATAATCTCGGGAGTAGTTGTTAGAAGGAATATAAGTAAAGCCGGGTCGAAAGGGGGTTTGCTCAAAGGCCTCATAAGGACTATGGCATTCTTTACCAGTCACTATAACAGTAACTTCTAGGAGTAAACTGAAAGTGTTGTGAAGCAGTAGCAGTAAAATCTTGTTCAAAATTAACATATATAACTGTCCACTTCGCATGTTACGCCATCTAGTGGAATGTTAAATGATTCATGAACAAAATTGTGTTTTAATAAAATGAGTAGTGTTGGTAGCGTACAGCACGAAACATGTTCTACTTTGCTCAACTCTCTTTGATAAATACACAAGTAGCCGAGAGATGGCGCTACTACATTTTATAGAATTGTATGCTAAACAGATCTAAAATTAGTTACTTATTAATTATGAAACAATTCTAAAAAAATGTAATAAAGCTAATTCGTAACAACTAGCAAGGAAAAATTATTTATTACAACCATTGCATTCTTACTTTTTATATTATATATGGCCGACATTCAGCTTATGCCGTGACAGCTATAACATTCGCGGCGCTAAGTATGTGGTATTCTTTATACCTATAATTTTGTTGGAAAAACTATCCTATATATAAGTATTTATAAGACAGTTCTAAACTAAATCTATTGTAAATAGAACAGTCAAAATAAATTTTAAGTCTGTTGCACAAAGATATTGCTTCTAATACCTTAACTACAATAACTAAGACTCCGCCGAATTGAGAATATACATACATATATATATATATATATTGCTGATTATTTTACCACAGATAAGATATTATTACATATTTTGTGAAAAGCCGTTTGCGTGGGTACATCTCTCTACCTATCTCAGCTGCCAAGGAGTTTACTTAGTAAGCTGTTTCGGTTAAAGGCTTAAAAAGCAGGGACATTACAGACATTTATTTTATTGACATTGATGTTAATGGAATGGTACACCTACCGGCGCTAACGGTGTTAGCTGGCGGGGCACCAGTGGAGGATGATAAGATGAGCATGAGGTCAGGTCAGTTAGCCCATCGTGGCAAATTCGCCTGGCATTTATCATGGAATGGTATCCAGGAAGAACCGTTTGTAGGTCAGCCTGACCATATACCATACATTGCTAGTAATGAGTTAATTACTCCACATTACTAATAATTCCTTACCATTATAGATATTACATTACAGATATTAAAATCTTATTATCAGCGGAACGGCAACGCATGACTGATATTATGGACGTCATTCGATAACGTGATGTTCATTCAACAGTAGGTGACGGTTACCACTTACAGTCACTGTGTGAGTGTGTCTATATATGATTTCTTTATAAAGAGACTAAGTAAATGATACACGACACCTATATTAGTTAGGTACAATTTATTCTTGTGTATATCATTGAATCGACACGTTCGGGCGTATCTTATAATAAAATGAGGTATCAGCATATCAGAGATAGAGATACCTAAATTCCTATAAGTATTTACATATAAAAGAAAAAGTAGGAAATTTATTTGAAATATTGTTATAAGGAGAAAATATTCATTTATAAATTTATAATGAATAAGCAACATGGGTTTTATTTTATAAGGGATGCTAATGGGAAGTTTCACTTGCCGACGCTAACGGTATATGCTCGCTGGACACCAGTGGAGGGTGATAAGATGAGCATGAGGTCAGGTCAGTTAGCCCATCGTGGCAAATTTACAAAGAATTTAACATAATAGTTTAACGGGGCAATCGCGTGGACACTTGACGTGGTACATTGGGGTTATTAATCCACAAGCAATGGGACTAGCAATGGGGTTATTAATCCACATTACTAACAATCCCCTTTCCCCACATGGGTTGCATTGAATTGTCAAAAAAGTAGAAATATGTAAGAGGCCAGGGCGTGTCAATAATCATTATATCGCAGGCCTAATAACATACAGGCGTAACTCAATCTACGCATAAAGTCACTCTCTATGCACTCTATATATCATCACTCTACGCATAAAGAGTAGATTTTATAAAAAAAATATAATTTTTGAGTTCATCCAGTATAGTAATAGGTGTGTGATATACACATACACTAGTTATATTATCTGTGTAAAATACTTAGACTTGACAAACAAAGTTGTGTTTGCCTGAGACTTGTGAAATGTGATACAGTCGCATCTAAAGTACTCTTCTGACAAATGGCGGTAAATTCACGTCGAAATCTGCATTATGTATGGAATGATTACAGGGAAGAATGTCAATGAACTCATATTTCACGACCACAAAATTGTGGGCCTTTAAAGGATTCTCGAACTGCGTTAATCACAATTCATGTCACGGCATAACGTACGAGTATAATTTGCTTAACTAACTGGTTTAGGGGCAATAAACTTCTAAAAACATATCTCAATTCTAAATATAACAAGCTTCTCATCTTGGGGTGTTTTCTGCGACCATTATTTGACTTAATTCATACATTCGAGGTCGTCGGCAGACAGGCTGTCCACGTGGATACTTGGGTGTAAACTCAATATCGATTACAATCCAATCCAATTTAGTAGCTTGGTTTATTTTATGTACCTGGAACAGCAAATAAACCAATACTACCCATGAGGAACCCATTCTGTAACAGTTCAGTGGACCGTTGGTAATCAAGATGATGGAAACATAGATTGCAGTAATCATACTAATATTCTAAATGAATAGAGTGTGTCTGTCTTTCTGTTTGTTACATTTTCACTATTAAATAGGTATTAATTAATTAGGTGAATCGTAATGAAATTTAGAATGAAGATAGATTTTTTTTCTCAAATGTTATCTATTTAAAACTGAGATATCGTAGTAATTAAACCTACAAACCCAGGACAAATAATGAATACAAAACATAGTAATTATTTGCTCAGTGATGAATGATCATGTTTTTGATGGTAGTACCGTCAAAAACATGTAATAAATTTTATAAAATATAAATTTAAAAATATAATGTTTTTGTAGCGTCGGACATCAATACGTTGCGTCCGGATAATGGATTAATTATGTAAAAAATCTTTATAAGAGTAATTACTAATAATGAAAGTAATAATCTCAAAATACCTTGTATAATACATATTGATTGCTTCTAATAATATTTCGATATGTGATCACATCGCCTCTGGCTTGATAGAATATAATATGAATAGAAATAACCAAAATAACCTTATTCAAAAGTTCCTTTAGCTAGGGATGTGAAACATTGTATAAAAACTTCGTTATTAATTAATAAACAATCTTAGGTAATCGATTAAATAAAAATCGCAATTTTCTGGAGTATAGTAGATTTTTCTAAAGTATTTATTAATTTTTAATTATCATTTCTACAATCCTAATTTTCGGGGCTTTGGACTTGTTCCTTTGTTTTTTAAGATCACTTGATGGGATGAAAAACTTTATAATAAGTTATATTAAATAATAGGTTTTTTGGAATAAGAACATCGAATGTAAAGAGTCCTGTACAATAATATTTTTTTTATATATATATTTTTTCCTAATCCATTATTTATTCATATCCTTATCTTTCCTATCTTATGCTGATTTGTGACGATAGGACATGAACTTCATTCATTCGATACCTTCATCTTCTTAACGATCCTTCATGCATGATATCTTTTGTGTCCATAAATATGACTTCAGTACTTCATCTTATTGTTTTCAGCTTAAATGGCTACTGATACGTTAGTGTAGAGTTATCCGTTCATTTATGAACTACGAATTCTTTATGAACCCTGCAAAAATAAATTTCAAGTTTTTTCAATTTCTGCTGACACTACTCAGACGTACTCGTATACCTAAACAATTAATTGTTTAGGTATACGAGTACGTCTGAAATAGGTAAACCATCCATGTGAAGTACCTGATAAGTCATAAATATCACATAAGTCATAAAAGTCAAAAGTCTTCGTCTCTGTTTTCGAGAGCTCCTAAAATTTTTAACATTATAACTTCGAAAATTGCTAGTAACTTTGGCGAAATCATTGTTATTTAAAACACACTTGAACACAAATAAAAACATTTTTAATAATTTAAACGTTTCTTCGAGTTGGACACAATTGATTAAGTTTCTGATGATGCTTTTTAAGAACTTATCCTCCCAGATGGACTAATCCAGAGATATCTATGCGGAGAGCAAACTTGAAAATAAAGCCTAGTTTTTCTTTGTATTATACAAGAAAAAGAAAATTTGCGACCGCAGTTAATTCAATATGGAGATATTAAAAATATATGATTAATAATGGTATTGGATATAACGATTATAATAAACGAGGAAGAAACAATTCCTTTGCCCTTCGTCCGATGTGCGTAATTAAAAAAGGTAAGATAAAGGTGCCTACTGCTCTGAAATGCGGAATGAAAGAATTTGTACTGTGACGCCATCGTGAACATTTGCGGTATCAATACATCAACAAGACCCTTTTTCTCATTATAGAATTAATTAATTATAATAAACCAGGACAATGCATACAGCGTCACTTAGTCCCAAGTTATGCAAAGCGTGTGTTACTGGTACTAGACAACTGATGTGAATACTTATACGTTTTTTTATAAATACATGCATATTATACTTAGTAGTGGTTCAGAGGGTAATAAAAGAAAATAGTATATAATAATTATTATGTATTATAATACAATAATACAGACTATAATATAATAAATATAAGAATTAAAAAATGTAAATAGAATAAGTATATAATAGGAAGATTGTTAAAAATGAAATTGTGCAGCAAAATATATATAAATACCCATAGAATAAGATAATATAAGAAATAGTCTGACCATTATAATAATATATATTGTATAAAAATGTAAAAAAAATAATATAAAAGGCCTGGAAATGTACATCCGGGGAAAATATGAAAAAAAAAATATACATTACCTTATAATTATACCATTTTGTCCAAATTATTAATACTTATTGAGTTACAAAGTTTGCGCAGTTTTTATAAATGATCTAAAAAGCATTATCAATTTACCACTCTGCTTCTTTCGTAAAATGATTCATTTTCATGACTATCACTGACTTATCAATTTACCACTCTGGTTGATTCATTTTCATGACTACTTTATTGGCACTTTATAGGACTAACACTATATATGCAGTGATGACATTTCCATGATATTGAATATAATGTAAATTAATTGATATTTTTGCATAAACACCTATTTTTTAAAAGCATTATTATATAAGCAGGCAAAGCAAAGCATTAAATTACAGGATTTAATTTTTTTTGCAGTTTGGTAAATAATTTTCTAATATCTCCAGAAGACACACATTTTTATAACGATAATACTTTAAACCTTTAAATTTTACGTACCCAACGAATATTTAATTATATTGTTATGTATACTACATAGGTTTTAATACTTTTTTAACAATTTCATTATAAAAAATAAGTTATATGGAGAAAATAAATAAATAGTTAATACTTTTATTCGACGATCAGTTACATGAAATCGTTTTGAAATAACCAACGGAAGGTTGCTGGAAATCCCGCATATACTTATTATATTATACTTACTTGGTTATCCGACATGTATTATTAAGTATGCGACCTTTATTATGAAATAAAACCATATGCGTCAATACTTATGACTTTTATTTCTTTAAAACCTTCTCAGTATGAAGGTAAACTAGCCAGTCAGTGCGCCTACACAGCCAAGTTCAGTGTTGTCAAAACGTTAATGTAAATGGCCGTATCGGGTGTGATGTGAACGCGAATCGCGCGTTTTCAAATCGTGTTCGTTTTTCAAACGTGTGAATTTGAAAAAAGAATATTATATTTTTTGTGACGTGAATTGTGAAATAGTGATTAAAAAATTTTTGGTATAGGAGGGCTGTGAGTTAAATCGGTAAGTTTTTTTATTAATAAATAAAAATAGTATCTTTAAGATGGAATGTATATTTTAAGTAATTTAGGCAAATATTAAATAATTTTACTACAAAATAAAGAAGTTATTTATTAGTTATCATATATACGTATATATTATAATTATAATAAAAATTACAAATAATATTTAATTCTAATAATTTCCTAAAATTAATCTATAACGAGCTCTATATTTATCAGTTTGAATAGAAGTATTAATTTAAAAGTGTAATAAGAGTAAAATGTAAGAGTTTTTATTATAAATTGTCGATGGAAAAAAGAATGCATCGAATCATTTTACAACTTGATTAAACCTTTATGTATTGAAGGCCCTATTGTATTATAAACAAAGCTGGGATATGTGCCCATGAGAATTAGTATCGTTAACACCACGAGATTGCAACCTTGTACAGTGGAATAATGAATAAATTATTTTTAATGTGATATTTATAAGGATATTGACATAATAAATAAATTTCAATAAGAAATGTAATTTTAAAATATTCTGTCAATTATAATAGCAGATAAAATATTGCTCGTATTTATTAATTACTGCTTTGTTTTAGAACTTTATACTTCTTTTGAAGTGAAACGAAGTAATGACTTAATTTTGATAATTATACTCATGCAATTTTTTTATTAAATTTATGCCAATATTATATGTAGCATGTAAATAAATAACATGCTATTATTTATGCAATGACAAATGACACAGTCAATAACTTTGAGATCACATAAATGTAATCCCACTAGAATAAAACCACCACTAGATCTTGAAATAAAATTACAGAAGAAGACAAACCAGACATTACAACTGATAAGAGAATAAAATTAAAGGATACGAGGCATGACATTTAATGCTTCAGGAATAGCAATACAGTATAATGTATTTATTATATATAGTATGAGTATTATGGATGTCACATGTTAACGTGATGTTGTTCATGTGTATAGGTTACCACGTACCATCAGGTAGGCTGATTCGTTCTATTTATAAAACGGAAGATGTTATTTACAGCATCAATTTGTTTTGCCAAAAATTACCGTTCCCATGATGGATTTTTTGTCGTATCTTCAAAACTGGTTTCTTTTACACTTAATAACAAAAACAAAACTAGGTAAGTTACAAAAATAGACCAACCTTGTATAAACATAATTAATATTTTTTGCTTTATAAACTTCGGAAGCAAGAAGGATAATAGTTTGTTCGTGAGAGATCTTTGATGATTTTTCAATAACTGTAAATATAGAAATGTTGTTTGTTTTGTAATACACGTATATGTTAACACTTTTATTAGTATATCTAAATTATGCTAGTTACAATTCAAAATTATAATTAAATAAATAATCTAAATTATAGTTAAAAAAATATTAGTTCAAACATAGTTTGACTAATACCTAAAATATGCATATCACCTTTAATATTGATAGCAGGTTTCATCCTATTACAAGTAGGTTAATTATCATTACTAAACGATGTAATTAAACGACAATTATAAAGAAACATTCTAGTATGTCACTTATTAATAAATCGGTCTGTGTGAATGTACCTCGTAGAAAAAATATAAATATGCATACATAAATCCCAATTTGAAACATCTTAATATAACGAGACTTCATAAAATCGTTAGATGTAAACGTACCTTATATGAAAAATGGATAATTGTCGATTCATACAATCAATGCAACGACACGCAGCTGCAGCGATCTCAATGATAAATCTAAGTAACAACTCACGCGATATCCTATGACTTGATGATACCACTGAAAATGGGCTATTTGCTGAGATTATATATATGTATTTATAAACCTGTATAATATATGTAGCATGTATATACATATACTATAACTAACTGACTGCATCCCGTAACGTTGGATGACGCAGCTAAGTTTAAGCTTCTACATCATAAATAATAAAATAGATATTTTGATAAATATTTTATTATAATAATTAAAAGTCCTAGAGAATCATTTATTTTAAACTAATTCAAAAGACGGCGGTAAGATTGCCTCCTGCTGCTTTGTATTCCAAATTTATTTACCAAAATATGAGCAAGGGCCAGAACCAAAACAATTGATAATGCCTCTAACTACACCATTTGGAATAATAGTCGTAACAAACATAAAAATCGACATTACAAGAGTGATCCACCTGCTAACAAGTATACCTTCTTAGTTTATTAATGACGGTCTCGGTGGTCTACCGGCTTAGCACACCGTCTTACTTCGATTCTTTGCACGGTACAAACATTTGTATTCATAAGTATGATTGTTTGTATCAGTCTAGGTGTTTTACATATATATATATATCGCTGATTATATGACAAAGGGCCACAACAATTTTTTTTGCGTTGTGACCCTTTGGTGTTTTATCAGCGATATACATGTATATAATATGTATGTATTTACAGAAAATTATATATATGCTTTTGTATCAGTTGTCTAGTAGCCATAATTTAATCTCTAGCTAGCTTAGTTTGGGACTAGATGGCATTGTGTGTGATAATAACATTATTATATTAAAGTTGGTATGTATATATAATTAAAACTTATCAAATTAAATAACTTTATCTTCGCAATCCTGAATGAATGACAATTAAATAAACGAGTAGCCATTTAGATATACCACTTAATGGGCAAAATTATGTTAGATTGTTTCATTATTTTAATGTGAATCATTCAGTTTGATAATAAAAGTAACCAGATGTTTCTAGAAGCCTTATAATATACCGCCAAGTCATGCTCTACAAATCACAGCAGGTACGATTGAAGAATCCACAGAGTTAACTTTACACAAGTCCTTCTTGTACCTAGTTGTATTTGCTAGAGCTGTTAGAAACACCAACAAAACAAAACAACTCTGTCACAGCACCACAATTTTAGTTTTATATATTTGCTTATATTAATGGCAAACAAACTAACTGCCCTGATGGTTAGTGGTAACCTTCGCCTATATATCAATATCGATATAATCAACGTCACTATAGACCATTCCTAATGCATTATCAATCCAGAGAACTAAGAATACCTCTGTATCTAGTAATTTTACTCTCTTATCCCACCCTTCAACGGAAACAAATCTTACAAAAGAAGCTCTTTTACGGTTGAAATAAGTGAGACAGTACAGATGACTTTACTACGTAGATAACTTTGTACAAAGTCTACCTCGGTATTATGTAACGTACTTGCTAACGATTGTCTATTGTAACAGACGACTGATTCAGAGTATAATTCAGAGACTGACAAAGAAAGATGCATCCGTGAAAGTACTGACTAGGAGAAAAGATCTGCAGTCCCAAATATAATAGTACCCAAATTACAAATAGTTACACATAGTACAAGAAATAAATCAGTAAACTTATTTAATAATTTACCATTGAATTAAAAAAAAAATTTTTTTTAAACAATTGTTACAACCAGATTGAGGATATTTTTTTATTGAATAGTGTTATTATATTCCGTAAGTGATTTTTACAATGATGCCCATATATTCTGTTGTTGACCTAGTTGACCTATTGCACTATGCTTGCTGACATAACAAAACTGACTATTTTTGTCACTATTACGTTTTAGGCCTTGTATGTTATCCTACACAATTTATGCTGTTTCGTATGAATAAAGAAATAATAGGTTGCAATTTCATGCAATTTTTTCAGTTCCTAATTGCAACTGTATATTTGTACTCGTACTTTACAATAAAATATGTGTACTGTATTATATTTTAACGTTTTCAATTAGCATTGTTAGTGACAGTAGGCGCGTTATGTAATAAAAATCTTTGTGACAAGATTATTAATATCTTTACATGGTATAAAATTAAATCGCTGCCGCTGTTTGCTGCTAATATTTTAATGCAGTTATCAGGAAAAGATAGAGTACATTCAAGAGCTTTATTCATATGTATAATACATGCGTATGTATTACAGAACAAGCAGAGAAATTCAAAGATTTGTAATGCCGAGCAAAGCAGGGACGAGTCGGTAGTAATATAGAATGTAGTTCTAATAATGAGTAATGCTGGTTGTTGAGTAGAGAGCACACATCAAAATTAATATCTGTGGTGAAGAGCAAATAGTGTATTCCTACCCAATATATGAATTATACTAGCTGAGCTCGAGACTTAGTTCGTACCCATGATAATCAGAATAACGACACTTTATAAATTTATTCTTTGTAAACCATTTGGAATAACAATAAAAAAAAATTTTGAGTAAATTTTACCACAATACATCAGTGAAAACCACGTCGAAATCGGTTAAGCCGTTTTTGAGAATAACGCACAAAAATGCACAGACAAACAGATAAAAAATCTAATAATGTCTGTTGGTTCTATATATTATGTTAATAAAGTACTTACCTGATTATTTTAATCATATATCTATCATAAACAGACAGAGACATTCATACATTTTATTACAATATGTGTAAATACCGAGGTATATCAGGGAACATCTTGGAGATTGTGTTTTATAAATATGGAATTATATGCCATAAATTATTATTATGCATACTGTCTTGGGAATGTGACCAAATGATATTTTGAATGTATGCTAATGAAATGAACATGTAAATTTTAGAATTTAATAACATAGTACCAATCAAATAAGCAATTTAGAAAATATAAATTTAATTATGAAATTAATTATATCTGTATTAAATTTATAATAAAAATACGTACATCGTTATGACTGTTATCCGAGATAGGGTAGTCAGAGGCATTGTGAACAGTCGTCGTGGTTTGTGGTGGACTCAACATTTGACATGGCTATGTTTAGTTCAGACCATTTCAATCCAACTTAGACTGAAGACCCCATTTTTCGAATTAATTAGGTTTGTTAACAGTGTTTCAATCACCAGAGTCAGATTATAAATTGACCAACCAGAGTATAAATTGACACAATACGTTTCTTTAATTGGTGTCAGTCAAATTCCAACGCATAATTTTTACCAGTATAAGTCGGTGTAGTAAAACATTACGTACTT